TCCAGGAGAAAGGAAATAATAAAGATACAAGCAGAAATAAATAAAATAGAAAATAAACAAACTATACAGAAAATAAATGAAAGTAAAAGCTGGTTCTTTGAAAAGATATACAAAATTGATACATCACTAGAGACTTAGAAGAACCGAGAAAGGAACCAGGTCAATCAAATCTGCAGTAAAGCAGGCAATATAACAAACATAGTAGAAATACAAAACTTCATTAGAGGATACTATGAAAAACTATATGCCAAGAAACAAAATAATCTGTATGAGATGGACAAATTCCTGGACACATATAATCTACCAAGATTGAGCCAGGAGGATATAGAAAGTCTGAATAGGCCCATAACAAGCCAGGAGATTGAATCAGTGATAAATAACCTCCCAACAAAGAAAAGCCCTGGCCCTGATGGCTTCAGCTCTGAATTCTTCCGAGTGTCCGCACTCTGTGACTGAAAATAATTGACTAAAGGATATACAAACACAGTAAATGAGTGTAAATACCAGATATAGTGTGTGTGGAAGAGTCAGATCTGAGGAAGGACATTTAAAACAATACAGAGGCAAAGCATTAATGGGACAAAGAAATGTGGTATTATCTGTTGAAGATACTTTATAGTTTAATCAACTGACAAATGTTCACATATTGAAATATTCACTTTGGAAGCTACATAATGTCATTAATGTATAAAAGAAAATGAAATAAAAAAGTAAAACAAAATAAGAGGCTACACTTAAGAATAAACTAAAAAAATAAAGAAAGAAATAAAAGTGAAATTGCCATACATTCACCTTAGGCGTCCTCCTTCTTCATCTTCTTGAGATGCTTTTCTATGAGAATAAGTCTGTTTAGAAAGAAAACATGATCATGAGAATCCAGCACAATGACCACTATCTCCACATCTTTTTTTTTTCTTTTGAGTCACATCTATTCAGTGAAATGAAAACCTTTGAGGACAGGAATTCTATCCTGTTTAATAGCTCTTTGGCTTTTCCATAGCACCTAGCTTAGCATCTTGCATGCAGCTGACACTTAATATATTTTATGGGGGACCAGCAGTTAGTGTAATGGCTATGTTGCTGGACTCCCACGTAGTCGACCATGGTTTGCGTCCCGGACCCGGTGGCTTAAATCTCACACCAGGCGCGTGTGCGTGCGTGCCCAAGATCCTGAGAGGAGAACGGAGATTTTTTTTTTTTTGAGAGGTTTTTACAATATGGTGTATGCACTCACCAGAAAGACAGAGAGAGACAGAGAGATAAAAAGCAAGAAATCACCCCCGAGGGAGGATGGCCATGCCGCAATCCCTTCTTCTCCATTCTCCTCTCAGGATCTTGGGCATGCATGCACACACGGCCGGCGTGAGTTTAAGTCCCCAGGTTCGGGACTCAAACAGCAGTCAACTACGTGGGAGTTCAGCGACATAACCATTACGCTGGTCCCAATAGATAATTTCTAATAAAACCTTTTATTTTTTTGGAGAGGTTTTTGCTATAGGGCACATGCGCTGGCCAGAAAGACAGAGAGAGACAGAGAGAAAGAGAGAAATCACCCCACATGGGGGATGGCCATGCCGCAATACATTCTCCTCTCAGGATCTTGGGCATGCACGCACATGTTCCCAGCGTGAATTTAAGCTACTGAGTCCGGGACTCGAACCACGGTTGACTACATGGGGGTCCAGACACATAGCCATTACACCAACTGCTGGTTCCTCTAATAAAACCTCTTAAAAGGTAGGAAAAAAGGCAACATCCTTAACTTGGTAACAGTGTCTCCCAGAACCCTAAACAGTACTGTTTTAAAGTCAAGAACAAGAGTTGGAAACCTTTTAAGACTGCTCTTTTCAACCTAGTTGAGAGGGCCTAGTCAATGCAGTAAGACAAGTAAATGGGGTATCCACGTATTAGAGAGGAAGTCACAAAACTATAATATTTACATACAAAATGCTGGGCAACCTTAAATTCTCAAGGGAATCCACAAACATTTTATCAGCTGTAATATGAAAATTCACCATCTTGGCCAGATACAAAAGCAAGAAATCAGCACACAAACCTCAATGGCTTTCGCAAGTACTATCAATAACTAATTAAGAAGTGGAAGAGGGGCCAGCAGGTAGCTTGGTGGTTAAGATGCTGGACTCCTACATGGCTGATCACTGTCCCAGACCTAGAGGCTTGCTTTTCCCTCTTCTCTCTGTGGTGAGTACACATGCCATACAGCAAATTTAACATAATAATTATAATAACAAATTAAATTAAATAAAGCTTAAAAAAACAAAAACAAAATGTGTAAGAGCTATGTGAGGAAATTCTGAAACTCTTCTGAAGAACATTACCAAAAAATGAATGCATATTGTGAGATACAATGTTCCTAGAATATTATAAAGATGTCAATTCCTCTCAGATTAATCTACATACTCAATGCAATCCTATTCAAAACTCAAGATAGTGAGACCAGCAGGTAGTATAATAGCTATGTCACTGGACTTCCATGCAGTGGATCACAGTTCAAGTACTGGACCCGGTGGCTTAGACTCATGACAGGCACATGTGTGTGTGTGTGCCCAAGGTCCTGACAGGAGAATGGAAGAGAAGGGATTGCAGCGTGTCCCTCCCCTGTCTTTAGGGGGGGGTGTGATTTCTTGCTTTCTATCTCTCTCTCTCTTTCTGGCGAGTACACAGGCCCTATAGCAAAAACCTCTCCCAAAGAAACAAGCAGAAAAAAACCTAAAACCCAAGATAGTTACTTTCTTAAGTGAAAACTAATCATCTGACATTTGGCTGAGAAAATATACAAGAATACTTATGAAATATATGAAAAAGGAAAGCAGAGAGCAGGAGCTTTACACATCTCGGCTCTATTATGTGTTGACCCTGGTGTTGCTTTTTGGGTATCTGTCTTTTAAAAAGTTATTTACCAGAGGCAACAGGTGGCATGGTGGTTAAGGCACTGGACTCCCACAGGGCTTACTGCAGTTGCTCCCAGAACAAGGTACTTTGAAAAATCCCTGGGGTTTGGGAACAGCAGATGGTATAATGGTTACATCACTGGACTCCCATATGGTCAACCACAGTTGGAGTCCTGGAACTAGTGGCTTCAAACTCAAGCTGGGCACATGTGCATGTGTGCCCAAAACCTTAAGAGGAAAAAAAATTTTCTAAGCAAAAAAAAAAAAATTCTTAAAAAAATCCGTGGGATTTACTTTGCAATTAAAGTACAGAGCATACTTCAGTCTTAGTGACTGAAGAGGACTATAAGGCAGTAGTTGGTGGAAAAGCGGCTTTGATTTTGTCTATGGTTTTTTATTTTTTCTATTTTTATTAATTTACTTTTCACTGTTTTAAATCCTTGAGGGGTAACAGCATCACACAGATTCTGTATCCAAAAGCCTTAGCAGGAAGGTTGCTTTGGAATCTTCATTTGGTATTTAGCTTGAGCCATGCCGCTCTTTCCATGGGCACAAGTAACCTTTCCTCAGATTATTCTGACTTTATTCGGTTTGCCACCAGGAGTCACCGTGTTGTTTTTTGCTTTGTACACATAAGTACGCCTCTTGACTAAATAGAATTCCACCTCATCTTATGCAAAAACACCTTCAATTTTAAGAAGAGCTGTGTGTTCCCTTTGGTTCCTGAGACTCCGCTTATAGCAAGCAAAAATGGTCTAGGCCCATAGTCTTCCAGACATAGTTAGTTGCCTTTTAGAAGTCCTGTTCCCAGAAGCCCTTCTCAGGCTCCAAGATGGCAGGGAAAAAAAAAAAAAACTCGATGGGT